AAATAAATAAAATAAATAAAATAAATAAAATAAATAAAATAAATAAAATAAATAAATAAATTAATAAATAAAATAAATAAATAAATAAAATAAATAAAATAAAATAAATAATTAACTAAAAATAAAAATAAAATAAATTAAAAATAATATAAATAAAATAATATCCGTAAATAAATTTTAAAAATGTTAAAATATTACTATTTTAAAAAACAGCGATGTTTAATTTATTAATTAAATAATTCATAAATTGAATTATAAACCATGGTCAAGCCCTAAAATGACCTGAGCATAATCTCTTTTTTTTCAAATTCAACGGAATTGTGGCTTAACGCATTATATGGATACTATTTCATAATTCCCCAGAAATTTCTAACAGTGTTTCACTTCTTGGAAGTTTGTAAAAAATAATTTATAATAATTTCTTAATAGAATAAAATATAGAAATTAAAATTGTCAAGCCATAAAAAGAACTCAAGCTGAACATTTTCTATTGCCAAGGCCAAGACAAGCGAAATTCAACGGACTTGAGGCTTTAAGCATTATAAGCTTTATCTTAATTATCTAGAAATTTCTAAACCCTTTTTAAAATGTTTAACTTCTTGAAGTATCTGAACCCTTTTTAATGCTGTTTATTTCCAATGAAAAAATATCAAAAATTTCGGTTGGCTTAAACTTGACTTTTTTATACGCCCAGCCCGTTTGGGCTTTAAAACCCTTTGGTTTTCTTTCTGGTCCAATTGTGTGGCTCATTGCGCGCCTGCACACACTTGCCTTCAGCTCGATTCAGTCTTTTACTTTGCTTAACTGTGCGCACTCCTCCCGGCCCGGGCGTCCCTTTTCGGCTGGCCTGGAACAAACTGTAAACAAGCGGCTGCGGCGCAAGGACAATTTGTGCGCTGTGTTAAAATTATGAAGGCCCGTGTGAAGTGGGCCAGAGTAAAACGATGCCGCAAGCGAGCGACTGGGAGTATGGGCAAACAAAGGGCAAAACGTTCTCAGTCTCTCCCTCTCTCTCTCTCTCTCTGTCTCACTTACACACACTCTCCTCGTTCTCTCTGCCTCACACTCACACCACGTCCAGCAGGACAAGTCGATGCAACCCCAGAGCTGCGACAGCTGTTGGGTCCATTGCCCTTGCCAAGCCCCGTGCATTGCGCGCGGGCGGAAATATTGCGGAAACCGTTTATCATGTCGCCAATGGCTGCGTTTTCATAATTGCTGCAAACGCGACAAAACGGCGCAGCTACGGCGAGCAGTCAGCCAATTAGTTTATGCCTACAAAAAGAAATATATATGTATGTATGTATAGTTAAGTATATTGAAAATGTAAGTCACATTTGTCCAGATCGAGTTTAACGTACCGATTTCCTATTTTTTTTGTTTTTTGGTTTGTTTGTTTGTTTGTTTATTTGCTCTGGCGCTGTGAGCGCAAGTTCAAGAGCAAGCGATAACCTGTGCACAGGCGATTAAGTAACAACAACAACAACAACACGAATTACAACAGCAACAAACAAGCCTACACACACACACACACAAACACACACGCGACACTCACATGCATAAGTCACACCTGCTAAAGGCCGAGCAAACAAGCCTAAAAAAATCAACGTTAAACCGAGCGAGCCACTGAGCGAATGAAACAAAAAATACAAAGAGTAATCAAGAAAGAGAGAGAGAGAGAGAGGCAGACAGGGAGAGAGCAGCACGAAAAAAAAAAAGACTCAGCCTTTGCTTCTGCAAACAAACAATGTACAGAAAAAGAAAAAAAATACATAATACCAAACAACTGGACAAGCCGGCCGGCTTTAAGTCTTGAGCCACAGCAACAAAACTTTGACGCAAAAGAGATAGAAAACGGCGCAGCTTGAATGCTCTACTAGGTGAAGGGGGAAAGCTGACAGAGAAAATGCAGAGCTCACATAATTTTAATAAAATATTTTTCTTAAATTATATACAGATTATTCAAATATTCCACAATTTTAATTAAATATCTTTCTTAAATTATTTTGTTTACTTATTTTAATTAAATATTTTTCTTAAATTATTTTATTTACTTAAGAAGAGCATATTACAAAAATTGTATTATTTCTGTATAGTCGGTATATTATTATAACTTAATTATTTATTTATTTTATTTTTATTTTTATTTATTTTTTTTTATTTTTTTTTATTTTTATTTATTATTTATTATTTTTATTTATTATTTTTTTTGTTTTTTTTTTAAAATATATTTTTAAAATTTTTAAAATTTTTTTTTTTTTTTAATTTTATTTTTTTATTAAATATGAATATAGTTTCTT